GGCTATTTAGCCACCCAGGGCGTTTGTTCAGTCTTACACTAGTCAGTGGGCCGTGGTTGTTGATGAGCTGCAGAAGGACATTCTTGAACAGCTCCCAGTCATCGTTGGCACTTCCCGTAAACAATGAGCCCCAGTCGAGACCGGATAAGTCTGCGCTCATCTGATTCAAGTCGGCTCGCCAAACATTACGTCTTTTGTGGTCTGGAGTATGTGAAATGGAGGATAACGAATAATCCCACATAATCACTACGTGGTCACTTCGGCCAAGGGACGGCATGGAGGTGATCTCGTCTATGCTGTCTGGTGTTTTCGTAAAGACCAGATCCAGGCAGTTTGCCCTTTGTCCTTCACGTGTTCTCGTTGGGAACATGACATGTTGTGTGAGGCACGCATTTAATGTTTTGTTCAGCACACGGTATCGAATGACGATTTTGGACCTGACGCTTGGAGGGTATTCCAGTTTGTTCCTGGAGCGTTTAAGTCACGCATGATCATGATGTTAGGTCGACTAGAAAATTTCTCCAACTGCTCCAATAGATGAGTGTAGGCGATCTGGTCTGTCCTAGGTGGTCGGTAGACAGTGAGGACATCGAGACACGGGGAACCGGTAGCCTTGATGGTCAACCAGATAACTTTCGTACTGCACGCAAACTTGGTGGTGCTATCCGACACTGTCAGACCGTCATTCACATACACAACGATACCACCATCCTGACGATGTTCTCTGTCCCTCCGATAAATTTGGTATCCAGGCAAGGCTACTTCGTTATCGCTAATATTCCCGGACAGCCAGATATCAGTTACTGCTAAAACATCTGGAGACAGCTCAACAAGGCAAAGTTTTAGTTCGTCTAGTTTCGATATGAGGCTTTGGGCATTCGTGTACAAGCACCTCAGTTTTGCACCAGCCGAATTTCCCGTTGCATTTGTTACTGCTGTGAGCATTACTCCGTTATCGCGGACGTCGTGTTCTCTAGGCTCTTCCGTTACCTGATTGGTTCCATTTACATGCCTTGTTTCAGTCAGATCACTCGACGCTACGGGCTCATTTGTGTTGGCGCCTTGATCAGGTGGTTCAACGAAGGTGTCTGTTTTAGCTGAGAAGCTGTCGCCGTTCGTAGTATTACAGGCTGGTTCCACTGAAACGGCATATATTTCCGAACTACCTTCCCCTTGAAGATAGCCAGATTGTGTTTGCCATCCTTCAGTCTTGATTTTAACTCCAAGGCAAGTTCCCGGCGTTTCAACCGTTCCGCTGGTGAATAGTCCGGTTGAAAAAAAACCTGTTTGTGTGTGTTTCTGAGATCGGTTTTTTTAGAGAGGATAAACCTGATTCGCTCTTTGTTCTCCAGCATAATTTTGAGAGGGCGAGGTGGTTGTGCTACTGTCCTGTCTTCACTCCTTTTTCCTATCCGGAATGCTTTCAGAACTTTTATTTCCATGTCTGCCGCCAGTAAATGATTAAGCAGACCATGAAAAGAAGCAAGGTCCTCTGAGACACGGTCTTCAGGTCTGACTGCATTCCATTCTGACAAACCCTGAATAACCAGACACTGCTAGCGAGCATGGTCCTCCTTACTCCGTCTTTCCGGTGAATGCGCTGCATGTGAGCGAGGACGATTTACGGAGTCATCGCTTGAACGCACACTTTTACTGCCTATCGTCTGTCCCGAGCAACCCATCAGGGCTGGCTGTGACTTCAGAATCCTGTCATGGCGTTTCCCTCTCCCCTATACCCACGGGTTTATGTCTTCGCATTCAGATACGTGCTCTGTAGTGCGCTCAGGGTGGTTGCCAGAACAAAAGGGCAACAGTAGACTCGATGACCCAGGTATATCGTCTCCGGGCAGAAGAGAAACCCCATCACTTACAGCAAGAGGCTTAGGTGAGATGTCTTTCGCGACAGGTAATTTTTTTGCGACATCGCTTAAGACATCGTGCGTGGGAATCGAGTCTCCCTTTATCGACGGCTTCGTTTTCATTGTCCTGCTGTTACCGGCGTCTGCGGTTTTGGCTGCTGAGTTGCTACTCGTGTTTGAAGATTCCCCCGAGGAGATATTTTTTCGCGTTTTTTTCGTTTTGCTCTTCGTTTTTGGCATTCTAACACTGGACACGTTCTGGCCGACTACGGTCTGTTTCACGAGCGTCCTTAAATCAGCAAGCTTCTATTCCAGTTGTT